ATGGCTTGGGAGCTCGTGTAATTGGGTCTGGGGATGTATTATGTAAAGATTAGGGGTCGGAAAGTAAGACGGGATTGTTAGTGTGTTCATTGCCTATTCTGTTTCAAGAAACCCTTGGTGCTCCAAGCCAAGCCAGGTTCGTCAGTACCCGGATATACTTCTCGGAAAGGTCATACCATCCATGGCGCATGCTACCTTCCGCCGGTTCCCCCGGCTCGGGCAATGGTAGGTTCACTACCGAACTGTAAAAGCCTCACAAGCTACAGCATCAATAGAAACTCCCACATATTCCGATCTCAAGCTGCAGCCTGACTGGAAACACAGTCAATAACAAGCCTGGCAAACTGTCAGCCAGGCCGTACTTCGCGTACACTCGGAGGCCAGCTGGAAGGCGGCTCATTCCCAGCAGTACCTGCGCGAATCAGGGAAGTCGTCGCTTTTTAGGTTTCAGGTTTGCTGGGTTCGGCTGCAAGGCTCCAGTAGCACGCTCACAATCGGCATTGCATCAACCAGACATGTTTCTGCAGCTGTTCTGGCAATCTCTAGATTCACAAGGAAGCAAAAGCAGATGCGATATGTCTTTTGAACACAGCCGGCGTCGGGATGTCCCGATTAATCAGATACCAACAGCCATCGCAGGCTTTCGGACTGGCACTTTCAGGCCCAGCTGCTGGCACACCGAGGCAGGGACGCAGGATCATGCTACTTAAGAAGCACAATACCGGTACCGGAAGATCATGCGAGCTGTTACCCGCGCCCCTTACCTCATCCCAACAGACCCATACAGCACAGCAAAAGATCCCCTAATCGAATCACTGTACTGAGCAAAGATCGACAAGCCAGTCTCGCCATCAGGCACTGTCAGCACCGACCAGCCAGCCTTAGATTATAAGAGCACAACACACCATTGGAATAAGAGAGCTGGGGCATGACAAAACACAAATCCATTGGGTCAAGACGCGTTGAACAGACTCCAAAGTCAGAAAACTTTCAGCACATGTTTTGCAGCATTTCCTCATGTCCAAGACCACACCGGATCCACGCTTATCCTTGATCTCTTCAGACAAGGCCTCAAAGCAATGCTTCCAGTAGGCATCCTGCCGATCGAGCAAAACAACTTCTCACCCCACCGCCTGCACACTCACACAACCAGCTCTAGCAAGCATTAGCCGAAGAAGTCCTCGGCTTTGGAACGGAATCTCAGATGATTGGCCACGTAAAGCTCGAAAGAGTCCCGGATGCAGGTCCACCTCTGTTTTGCAAACGCCTCGCGCGTAGGACACGGCCTGCTGGCAAACGTCTTTTTGCCCTCAGCTCCCTCCTCGGGCTCCTTCTGGTCCGATGCCTCGGCAGCCGGCTCAGAGGGAGCTGCCCCTTCGTCCTCGGCAGGGGCTTTCACCTTGCTCTTGGCAGAAGCTTTCGCCTTGGTCTTGGCAAAAGCTTTCGCCTTGGTCTTGGCAGAAGCTTTCGGCTTGGTGACAGCCTCCTGCTTGGCCTCCTGCTGGTCGTCGCCAGTAGAAGACTCTCCTTCCTCAGCCGTCCGCTTCCGCTTCGGAGCAGATTGCTCCGCACCCAAGCTCGGAACCTCGCCGGTCTCTGCTGGGGCATCTTCAGGATTCGGCTTCTTCTCGGGGCCGGACACACCGCCTTTGCTCGCTGATTTGGCCTTCGCCTGCGCTTTTCCTTTCGCTTTGGCCTTGCCCTTAGGCTTGGCCTTCCCCTTGGGCCTGCCTGGGCCCTTTTTCCCATTCTTGCCTGTCGGAGGTTCCGCCTCTTCATCCTCCTCCTCCTCGACGTCTTTTTGCAAAGCCACCTTGGCTTCGAACTGGTCCTTGCGGCTCAACCCGGAATCCGACAAGTGGAATAAGTCGCCCTGAGCAGCATCGCTGGATACAACCGTCTTAGCATCGCAGACAAACTCGGGCTCAGGTCGCGATTGTGAGTCTGGCTCACCAACGACCTTTGCATCCGGGCTCTCATCTGCAGCCACTGCCTGGAACTGCTTCGTAAGATCACGAGCAACAGGCTCTAGATCCATAGGCTGCGTCTCCATGTCCAGCAGAGGGACTGCCTCAAGCTTTGCCGTGGACGGCCTCGGGCAAGCCAAAGTCCTTCTTCGCTTCTCAATCTCTTGCCTCGAATGCAAAAAAACCGTGACGACCCATGTGGTTGCTATTCATGCAAATGTTGCCAAACCTAGATCATGCATCTCAGAAACCGCAGCTGGTCGAGACGTTCTAGGCGAAAATTCTTAATCTTGCGGAGAGGAGGAGGCGGAGGAGCAGCCTGCTCCTCTGCCTCCAGATCAATGACCACCTGCATCCCGCACTCGGCCTTGCTCGTGACCTCCGCCTTGATCTCATCTTTCGCCTTGATCGTGTCCTCCCCCTTGGTCGCGTCCTTCGTCTCGATCGTGTCCTCCCCCTTGGTCGCGTCCTTCGTTTCGATCGCGCCCTTCGACTCGATCGCACCCTTCGACTCGATCACGTCCTTTGTCTCGATCGCGCCCTTCGACTCGATCTTGTCCTTCGCCTCGATCGCGTTCTGTCTCAACCCGGTAACTGGGGCTGCCACCAAAGCTCCAGATAGCATACCGTAGAGCTCCTGATCGTCAGGGTCTGCATCACCCGCCAACATTTCGTCCGCTGGGACAAAATCCCGATAGAACCCATCGGCTTCAGCACCAGTCTCGGGATCAACTTCCACATCCTCCTCCTTGCATTCCTCCTCCTCTCCTTCCTCGCCATCATCTGCCACATCACCAGGCATCGGCTGAACCCGGAAGTAATGGTTCATGACCTCGAAGAGCTTCCGAACCACAGGATCCTCAGTCGAGGAGTCTAGTATGGGGACTTGAGAATGCTCTACCCAGATTCTATACATGGCACTTATCGATACAACCCGGGCTGCCGCAAAGGAGCCCTTCGCTTGGCGCCGTTGTGGCGCTTAATCATGTACGTGACAAAGCACCGAAGGGAGGATGCATCACAGACGACTTTTGCCGGATCCGCCGGCATCTCGAGGTCCTCCCTCATCAAAGCAATCTGCGGGACAGTGCAAACCCAAGCAGGCAAGCTAGCATGAAATCGATACTCAAGCATTTGTCCAAACCTCTGCCTCACGTCGTGCTGCAAACACGTTGATCGTTCTCAACTCTGGGGCCGGGGGAAGGTAGTGGTGAAGCAAAATCGTGAGGACTGAAGCATTGGGCCGCATGGATTTGAAATTGATGATGCCGACCTTTTTCGGCTCTTCCCAAACCAGCAACCTGCCCGTTTTCAACAGTCGCTTCCTGATTTCCTTCTGTTTCTCCAACTTTGCCGCGAGTCCATCTAAGGCCAACTCATCGGCCTTGTGCTCTTTCTTCGGCATGAGCTGATCTTTCTAAGCTACACAGTCCTACCCTGTTTAGCCTGGCTATCGAGCCTGACAGAAATGGAACAAGCAAAATGAACCAGAAGCAACAACCGTCATCGCAACAAAAAGCCGCACAAGAAATGGGTGGACTGGGCGGCGCGAGGGAGGGCACTGCAGCACAAAGAAGTCGCCAGCGCCAGCAACTCATCAGTGAGCCAGCATGTAGGACCTGCGTGCACAAGATAAACAAAACTTATTACACAACATTTGTTCGGCTGCACACCGTGAGCACAACAGTTGCATGCACGAAAGCATTTTCTAGCAACAGTCATCTTCCCAAGTTGTTGTTTCCCCAACTGTCAAGGGAAGTTCCCTCTGATGCTTCTGGAAGCCCTGACTGCAGGTCATGGCGGTGCTTCGCCTGAGCGATGCGACGGAGAGACTCATGTTACGGCAGTGATAAGGCTGATATGACACATTCTTGAAAGCTCAGGAAGCAGCGGTGCTTTCGTAGAATGGTAGCAAAATAATGCACCACCCCCTTCAGCCGGTAGTTGTGTAGGATGGTCCAAGCACGATCGTCACTGATGGGAACCTCACCAGAAAAGGAAACCAAGGGAATTAGATTTCAAGATTCTCAAACCCTACACCCTAAACCTGCAAGACTCATTATGAAATAGTTGATGACCTAATCCCCATTGAAGTGACCTCGGGGTTCGTATCGAAGAGCACCTCCTGACATCGAAGCCAAAAAGGCGGTGGCAGATCGAAAAGTCCTGGGAAGGATCCGGGTAGGAGCTTGATTGAAGTTGCTTTGTTAATGTGCAACCGAAGACAGGCCTTCTTTTTGAAGTTCGCAGGTGAGCACAAGGCCCAAATGAACGGTAGCCATCCTTCCTACACCCCTTCCAGGGAATCCTACAAATCCTACTAGTAGCTGCAGCAGCTGAAACGGCTGATTTGCCCATGCCGCAACTGATGTCGACATCTCGAACAGACAGCAAGCCACAGCGAAGCATTCAGAAAGAGAGGGGGGCGCACCTTCGGGCGTCCACGAGATTTCCAGGGCCCGAAGAAGCTTTGAGCCAGCTCATGATCCATGAGCAAGGCATCAATACAAGATTGAAGTATATATCTTTTAGTTACGATCTATTACACAGCTTCCGAACTCTTAAATGTCGAAGAAAGCTCGAAAGGGCAATTCCGACCGCAGTCGTTTTTTCCAGGACACTTCTTATTCAGTCGCCCGAATACCGTTCGGTCTGGAATACTAGACTGAAGGAGGGTCCAGGTATATATATATATATATACATATATATATATATATGTAGATAGTTAGATACACATAAATAAAAATGTGTGAATACATAATTAAACATACATACATACATACATACATACATATCACATGATGTATATATCTCCATACATCTATATGTATCTCTGCGTGTGCGTGTGTGTGTGTGTGTCGTTGTCTGTTTGTGTGTGTGGGTGTCTCCAACACGACCGGAACCGGAACCCCGCCCTTAAAGTCCAGAACCCCAGATTCAAATTCCAAATCAAGCCTTAAGGAGCCCTTGCAAACAACACGTCACACGAAGCAAGAGCCCTGCAAACTCTAGTGGCCACTTCCCGTCCACTTCCTCGTATCTGGTGGGGAATTTCTGCTCGCAAACATCCAGCCTGAGACAATTACGCCTGTTTCGTCAATACTACATTGGAACTGTTATAACAACATTCTCCGCAAGTGCTCAAATGGCTGTTGGTGCTGCCTTGTTGGTCATATTGTTGCTATTATGGTTATTTGGCTGTTGATGCTGTCGCTTCTGGTGCTGTTGCGGCTGCCAGTGCTGCAGCAGTAGCTGCCAAAGTTGAACATTTTGAGCTGCTGTTGTGCCTGTCATGAACACCTTTATCCTCAACACCAGCTCTGTGCAAACGAGTAATGTGACACTGTGAAGGGCCGCCACTTTACTTCGCGAACCACAAGCTAAATTTCGCTGCGCACCCCCGCAAATCATTGCCCGATCCTGCGGCTAGGCTAATGGTTCTGTCACTTCTTTCGGTTTGTTTGCTCGGCAAGCTGAATGCGCACCCGTGAATCGTGCTTGGGGTGGAGGTGAAGGTCAGGAGAAGTGCCGCTGTCCATTCTCACTTCTCAACCCTTGCTTGCTTGCCTGCACAGCCTGTGGATGCCTGTGGGGGTTCAGGGCGAGCCCTGGCCTCTCTGCGTTCTCGCGCTACGTTGCGTTTCGTGTCCGGAGTCGGTGTGAGACTTTGAGACTTTGTGAGGGCTGTCGAATGCTGTCGACAGAAGCACTTCACTTCTCAACCCTCTCTGTCTCTGTCTCCCTCTCTCTCTGCCAAGTTTGAGGAGAGGTGCGGGTCAAAGCCCCCCACGTGCACGCGCAACTGCTGGTCTCTGCAAGGCTTTCAGCACATACGATAGCAGTCACGGTGCTCGGAGCAGTGTTGAGCACAGCATCACCCTGTTAAATGCACTATCAACTGCGGTTGCTCAGCATTGCACCGCTCCCCCGTTCGCCTTTCTTGAGTTTCGGCAAGAAGCAACTTAAAGAACACATGCACGCTGCAAAAGCACTTGGTAAGGCCCGGGCCTGCTTCACTCTCTCGCTGTCTATCTTTCTCTCTCTCTCTCTTTCTTTCTTTCCTTCTTTCTGCAGGGCTTAGGGGCCGTCTAGCGACCCTCAGGCCATCGGCCCGCCCAGCCTCCCCACTGTGTTAGTGAGTGGCCGGCTTTGGGGTTCTTCCATAGTGTTGCAGTGAACCACGTGGTGTACCCCCGGTTCTCCTGTAGCAAGCCCCACCCCCTGCATACCGGCCTCATCTCTGGGCCCCTATGGCACTTTTTCGCCTGGGCTATTTTGTAGGGGCGTTACCCCCTACACCGCGCGCTCAAGCGCCCCCGACCGTGCACTCTCTTTCTTTCGCCAGGCTTAAGGGGCGAACCCCACGCTGAGGGCCACCCGCTGTTGGCTGGACGCACTGTATTAAGTGCGCAAGGCTAGGTTACGGGACGTGTGGCACGCCGAAAGTACACGAGGACTCTGCTCCACCTAATGTGACAACAGTGCCCCGGGTGTCCACACGTTTCGGGCTTCAGGACGGTTTTTCGCCCCTGGCACCGCATGCCCTACACTGCCTCATCTCGTCACTCATTGCACGTGTTATGGACCAGCGTGGCTACTGAAACTCCGCTGCCACCCCGTGCACTCTCTCTCTCTCTCTCTCTCTCTCTCTCTCTCTCTCTCTCTCTCTCTGTCTCTCTCTCGCTTTTTCCTTCGCCAGGGTTATGGTGTTGGGGTTCAGGGTTATGGTGTTGGGGTTTACCCCTCTCTCTCTCTCTCTCTCTCTCGCTCTCTCTTTCATTCGCTCTTGCCTCGAACCGCGAAAGGGGCAAGTAAGTACATCCAATTCGCATGGCCAAAGAATTTTTGCCTTGCCGCCATGTCACGGGAAGGGTTTTGGAAGCTTGTCTTGGATGGATGCTGCAGTTGCATCCATGACCTTGGCACACATTTCCATCGCGCAGGTAACCCTCAACCGTAGCTTGCTGCGACAGGGAGTGCATGCTTTAAACTTGCGGGCCCGAAGCATAAGAATATCTTGCCAGGAATTCGGGACGAAGGAAGCACTGTCCGGTGAGACCTTCACGAAACCATCTGCATGCAATGCAAGAACTCACACTGATAGCGATAGCGGTGGCCCTGATCGTCGACATTGTCACATGAGTCACATGGTCGTCAGTCAACACCACTAGCATCTCAGAACCATGATCAGCGGAGCCATATCATGAACAGCATGGTCATCATTGTCCTCATCAGCAACCTGCTCAATGCTAAACAATCAACAAGCTATCTGTTTTGACTACAAGTAGTTCCGGTAGCACTACCCTGAGCCGAAGACATCATCCGCAGACTTGCCGTCTCCGCCACCCCCTCCGGCTGAGACCATGCTCTGCATGCCAACCAGTAGCTTGAAAGCCTGGAACGAAACAGCGGTTGGGAGTGATGCAGTCATCTTGTCAATGGTCATTGGCAGCATGGACAAAGCAGGTCAACTCGCGACCTCATCCTGCGCGCAGGTGATGTTGCCTCAAACTCAAGCAAAGCATCAGCAGCATTACAAACAGAATGACGAGCCCGAGAAAAATTCAAGCTGACATGGTGCAATGTGCCCTGCTACCGGTCCAGAGTTCCATTCGGGACTTCGTCGTGACCAACCCCGGCCTTTGACTCCACTAAGCACAGCTGTGGGGAGCGGCTTCAAAGAAAGCGAAGCGGCTTGCACCAGTTTCAACTGGCTCATACTAAAATCATTCCTGCCTGCAACATCTGTTCCGGCGCAGTTCTGGATTCGTGAAGACCGTCTATGCATTGGAAAGCTTCAGCATCTGCACCACTCTACGACGGATAGACACCACCCCACTCAAGCTTCCAATCAAAAGCATAATTATCATCGCCGTCATCTCCACGAACCACATCATCACCCCAGTCATTATCCTCATCGCCGTCATCATCCCTACCGCGGCGGTTCCTCTTCAGCTTCTGGCAAAGGTAACAATGCTGCAAAGCGACAGTTGTCATGAAGGCCAAAGGCTTCGGGCATCGGGTAGAGCCTCGCGACTTCAAGGCTCAAATTCTGACATCGTGCCACGACATTTGAGAGACATGCGAACTTCAAGTAAGCCAAGTGGATGAGTTCTGCTGGTGAGGGCTTGAGGGGGTTGGGCTGAAACAGTTCTCCGGAAACTAAGATAGAAATACCTCGCAAAGCTTTCAAGACGACTCCGAGCAGATTTGTAAACCACACACAGGGTCATTTTCCCTGTATCAAGAACTAATGAGGCTAATCCTAAAGAAAGGGCTAAGCAATTCTGCTTTTTGCGATACAGGAAAACAGCCGTAACCACAAGATCTGACGTTGCACTGAGCTGGTGCGCTTGATAGGCATTAACGATGCTGATGCTGATCTTACTTGCAGCTTAGATGTTGTTTGTTGATGTGACGGCCCCTGGTCTTCTGTTACAGGTTGCAGCCGTAGGAAGGAACGACGAACGCAAACTAACCATCCATGGCAATACGATAGTGCTGAAACTGACGAGCCACATGGCAACATTGACCATCAACATGGTGCTGGCCGATCATTCCACACAATCTTCAGTCAAAGGTTTCATAACAAGAAGAAATACTAAGGGACAGCTTAACGAAGTGCACGAGCAATAGCGAGAGCAATAGCGAGCTCCAGGCGGCAAGCTCCGGATGTACTCGATGAAGTCCTGGAGTAGCGCTATCAGAAGACGTGCGAGGCTATGCCTTTCTGAGAATTTGGTCTGAGAGAATTTGGTCTGAGAGGGTCCAGTGGAAAGGGTGTAGCTCGGCTTAGATCACCCTTGCTGTGCTGGGTTGTGGTCGTGACAGCTTCAGCTGAAGACTAGTGTGCGGTCTTAGTCTGAAGTTTCGGTGAGCAGTAGGAAGAGTCAGGGTCTGCTCGCTGGCATGCTTGATCAGTGTGTCAGCGCGGATCCTCAACCGTCTCGGAGGGAGGGGCATAGTAGAGGCCACTGGCGGAGTACCTGGACTTCAGGGCTCACAACACTTGCACATGCAGTTTGGTGCATGCTAGCGTCAAAGCATCAGGATGGTTGTGCAGTTGCCGACCGGTTTGAAACAGGATTGATAGTCGTACTATAGCAACCCGGCGAAGGAGCCAGTGACAAGAGCTATCATAAACCAGTTGACACCAGCAAGACTCACGCCAAGTCGTAAGTCAACCCAGTGTAAACAATAATGACTACTGCACTCCATGGTTTGCATGCCGCAGAGCTTCAGTCATCGCTCTCAACACGAAAAGTTGGGGGCACTTGTATTGGTCCATTCCATTCACTGCTTCTGGACATATGTATGTAGCCAGGATCCTGCCATGAGCGCCATGTTGAAGTCACGCAAAACACAACCAACATCTAGGCAAGTGCGGCTTGGAGTGGGACGATAATGTTGGTTACGATGCTGATGAGGAAAGTCTTGAGTGCGAGGAAAAGGAAAATGGTGAACCTACTGGCGATGATCATCAACAAAAGCGATGCTGCAACTGCCGCTTGTGTGCAGGATGGCACTGATGACGACTATCTTGATGATGCAAGATTCTCAGGCTAATACCAGATGTGATTGGAATCAATGAACCAAACTCGGCCAGCGTAACGTGGATATCAGCAGCTTGTCTTTGTCATCAGTGACACGTCCACCGTAGTTGATCTGGGCCCCCAGGAAGTTGAGAACTTTGTACGGCACGTCCTTCGGCTACACAGAGTTCATTCCAAGAGTCGGTCTACTTCTCGGGGTAATTTTTTGAGAAGGGGCATGATGCTGCGTAATCTTGAGCACAGGCCCCTTGTTTAGGTTTGCATATTGAATGAATCTACCTGTCAAGACAAGAGGAACAGGCTGGCGGACACAACATCTTGAACGCTACACCCTGAGGCCCCAACTTCCGCTTGGTGTAAAACAGCGTCAGCGGATAAGTAACAGCCGTGACAAGGCCACCTAAACAGTCTCTTCTCATGAGGCCTATTCTGCTCCGTGGCGGGTGTCGGTTCTCCATAATTGTGGTGGTTGTAGTAGGGGTCGTCGTCGTGGTGGTGTGTGTGGTGGTGGTAGTAGCAGTATCAGTAGCAGGTAGCATAAGCAGTAGGAGCAGGAGTATGCAGCCCGGCGATTCTTACCCTCGCCCCCGTTGAGCTTCCGAGCACCAGTCGTCAGCAAAGAAAGCTCCCGAAAACCTCGCAGCCAACCAAAATTCAAAGAGCATAGGCGACCTGAGCAGCTCCAGGGCTGCAGCCGATCCCAAGATCTGACGCAGTCCTTGTACTTGTTCACGAAGAGCATCAACTGCTGGCGACACACTGCCAAGTCCTCGAGCAGAACCCAGATACATATTCTCCGCAAGCCGTGAGACAAACCTGAAGCCGAATTGTAGTCCCGATAGGCCCTACAGGCTAGACTGCAATAGCGCCACCTGTTGCGAAGCCATAAACTCAAAGACCTAGTTTGATCCCAAGCCTTCAAGCTTGCAAACCCCATGAATCAAGCTGGCGAGCTTTTCCCCAGAAAACTGACCAGATGGAAAAGAAGAAGCAGGATCCCAGCAAGCAGCAGTGATCCCCGTGCTAGACAAAAGAGTCGATGTTGATGATGCTGATGCTGACAACAGCAGGAATAAGGAGGATGCTACCAAGCTCGTTATATCCCTAGAAACAGCCCGAAAACGCAGACCTCCGGCGTGAAGCCATAGGGAATGTTCCAGCCGATGGGCCCAAACTTTCGGCGGTCCTGGAAGAGCTTGGGTTGAAGTGGGTACCGGGCCGTTTTCAACATTTGGGCTTCGAGCTTGATTGAGCTGTTTGCTTGAAGGAGCGGGCTTCAATGTCCAGAGCATGATGCTAAATTATTAAAGGGAAAGCCGTGCGATTTCACTGCGTAGACCCCTGTCAAGAGCAGTCCTGGACTACAGCGTGGAAGAAGCAAAAGCCGAACAATAGCGTCTTGAAGACCTGGCAAGTGACACGACGTCGAGAGCTTTGAGATGCAGGGCGTGCTTTGAGATTTAAACCTTCTGACTCCGTGGTTTGCGATCGAGCCTCAAGCTTTGTTCATTCCCAGCCGATGCTCAGGCTTACTTCAGGGCAGGCTCCCGGAGCGGAATCGCACCCACATAAACCCTCGAATTCGTTGAACCGTCCGCAAACACATCAACTGGACATTGAAGACGACACTTAGGGGGATCCTTGACTCTTAACCGAAAAATGAATCAACGGCTCTACAGGGATCCAAGCCACTTCCGAGCGGTGCAAAAGCACGGGCGCGACTCACATGATGCTGATTTCGCGTAATTTGGCAAGACGACTATAAAGCTGTTGAAGCTGGGATTTTTCTACTATCTTTTTTGGCCATCACGGCGACGTGATGATACTGGATCTTACCGCCGTTCGTACATCTCTTGGATTGTTTGCTGTTCAGTGCTCTAGTTGCACCGATGTCACCGCCAAAGACACCAGTGGTGCTCTTGCTCTGACTGTTGTTTCTCGCTGAGTCCTCATCTGCAACCATGATCAATGCTTTCAACGAGGTGGGTATCAGCTACAAGTAAGTTACAATGGGGAAACTAGATGCGATGAAGGCTTTGGATGAAGGCTGATGGTTCTGTCAAGTATAGCCACTGTATAGCAGTGTTTCTGCCAGCCACAGGCCTGGTGAGCATTGGGCTGCTCCGGCTCCGGGCAATGTAAGCTTTGTGGCTCCGCAAACACTCAGGAACGTTAGAGGTGCTTCCATGAAAACTCTACATGACCTCCATCGCAATGGCATCTTTTCTTTTCTCTCTATTAATGCCAGACATGGGAGCCTCGTCTGCAAAAAACACGTGCGCAGCTGCAAAGTCACATACAACCCATGCCAACGCCAGCAACAGATGCAAGTACACTCACCCACAGGCTTTACTGAAATTCTAAATACAGTTTGATTGAAACCTTCGTGTCCCTGAACCCAAGACCGAGTGATCAGGGCCCGCGCGCCGGGCTTGTCCGACTCCTCGAAGAGCCGATCTGTGACCGAGCTGTACGATCGCAGCCTTGACTGACTAAGGATGCTCGCAGTCGTCCGTGGTGCTTGTTGCGACTTCGAGTGTTGTGAAAAAGGCACGATCGAGTGCTTGGACTTTCTGTCGCGTCGCGCTCGGCTATGAAGGGAGTTGTTTTTAGGTCTTATGGTCACTGTTTATGTGGTCAATGCGCAGCCATCAGCCGACAATGCGGTTGTTAAGTTCGTGCCGCCGTGTTTCCTTGCATCTCTGCATGTGATGGGTAACCTTGCGCGGTCAGTGTGCGTACAGAGATGGAAGAGAAAAAGCATCTCACCCAATCCCCTGACATGTGGTTTAGAGTTTTCAAGCTTTGTCCCGTTTCATTTGTTCCTCCCCAAAGCCACTAGGAACGACACAAGAGGGCATGCTTTTTGCTATACACTCCACGGCAGTAGTGATCAGTAGTGGGAGTTCAAGGGTTCGAGGGTCGGGGGTTGATGTCATCGTTCAGTTGGTGAAGCTTCCCCCATGACAGTTCATTTCAAACTCACATGTCTGTACTGCCATGGACAATGTCAGTGTCAGTTGGCTGTCACCACAAGATGCAAATACAGCAGTACACCACCAAGCAAACATCAAGCACGAGGAGGCATATCACATCGCAAATTGCTACACGACGACGTTGCTGAAGTTGTTGGTGATGGCGATTCAAGAATGATGCTGATGCCGTTGATGATGCGCTCAGGCAAGGACCGAGTCGGATACGTCACTGGTCGAGTTGGAAATTGAGGTTTCCCAGGTCAAGGCATGACGAGGAGAGTGGGAGAGCGTCGAGTCGCAGGGTCGGGTCAGGCTTCGAGTTGACCACATGCTGTCAAACGCACTCGGGAAGATTTTGGGTTAGTCGTTGCAGTAGATTTGTGTGTTTCCGGACTCGACTCGCATGGTCCGTTTAACCGGCTAGGCCAAGACATGCCCCGACTCAGTGCGTGCCACTTCGCGACTCGAGCAGCCAAGACTCAGATCGACTGTATCAGGCGGCCCGACCCGCACTCTGAAGATTAAACTCCACGTGTTAAACCCTGGCCTCAACTCACCCACGCTACAACAATTTTCCCGGATCCCCAACCGAGGGATGAACAGATTGGCTCGAAGCCCAGAGGGAGGCTCGTTGGTCATCTTGATACCATTCTGCAGAACCTTCCATGACTGTGGGCTTCTCTGCAGATAGCGCACTACAAAACTCAATGCAGCAAGGTGCATCATATACTCAGTCCATGCATTCACAGATGGTGCATGTGCAATACAATATATATATATATATATGTATATATATATATATACACGATGTCACAGATACATGCATGCATACACGCATACATACATTCATGTGTTGTAGCAACAGGTCCACATGTGTGTTTACTATATAGGCATGTACACACTACGTTGCTACATATATGCACACACACACATATGCATATACACATAGATATTGTTTCAGGTATGGGTCATACAGACACACATATAGGAGGCATACTTACATGCATGCATACATGTAGAGTGTATCAGAGCACCGCCATCCTCATGATCATCATGATCACCGCGCCAACCGTAATGACGAGGTTTATTGGCGTTGAAGGCCAATTGCGGCCAGTTTCGGGAGCCAAGAGGGAGAAACGCTTCAGCCCCTGAAGCGAAGCCCAAGCCTGTGATCCCAAGATTGAAGACCTGGGTATCGGGACGTTTGCTGCTGGAATCCGAGCAGCTTCCGTGATTCGACATTTGAAGAAAGCAAAGTTGAGCGACAAAATCCTGAACGTTGTCACAATGCGTCGCCACATGTGGTGCATAAAGCAGCTTCTTCATGCTCGCCGTTAATAACCTTGCAAGCACACACCTCCTCCATATGCCCATATGCTTTAAACCATGCCTGAACCGGGAATGTCTTCGCCGGCATGGAGGTGAGCCAAAGCCGGAAGTTGTTCGACATCGTCTCCTGAAGCCACAGGGGGAGGGAACTGCGAAGAGATAGCGGATAAAGCTACATACATGTGCTTGTGAGTTCTAGGTCCAGGTTCAAGGAAGCTTTTGCGACGGTAAAGATCCGTGTGAACAAATATTGCGAGAATGTATAAGAGCACTGAAGACCCTGTCTGCATCCATGCTTCTGTAAAAGGATCCCTGTATCCTCAAACTTATGTCATCCACCGAAATCACCAAAAAGCGCGATTGCTTGCTGTTCAAAGCTCGCAGTGTTTTCAGTGCGCATTCTCTCTCTCTCACTCGCTCTCTGTCCATCTCTGTCCGTCCCAGTGCAAAGCAGAGACGGTCGGTACCAAAACAAACACTAATGAGTGACGCCCTGCACCCACACAGCTCTGACTGCTGTCCGGATCGAGCTGCTCCACCTGTGAGCCACCGCAAGTCAATGTTTGGGGTTCAGGACAGCGGGCCACCCGTCGAGTCGAAAGCTTGGAACTGTAAGGCTGTAAGGCCGCAGCAATTGCTTCCAGTGTTGACATCCAGGACCTGGCTCAGAAAATCTCCCTCTGCAATGTCATGCAGGGCATTGGACAGAGGCTTCTGACTTCTGATCCGCTCGTTATCGGCAGTCAAAAGCCGAGCGCCAAGTAGAAAACTCTGCGCGATCCGAATCACATTCCACAATAAACCTCTGTCAGGACTTGCAAGCAGCGTTGGAGCCGAAGACTGAGAGTGCCGCTGCATCAAGTGACAGTTGGAAAGCAGCACCCAGCCTGAATCGCAACGACAACATTCGGGGCCGCTGGGACTTCTGTTGCTGCTGCGGGGGCGGGACCCCCCTCAGAACCGATCGGCTTCTAATACCATCTGGGCACAGAACAAGCATTGAAGCGTCCGAAGGCGCCCTGCAGCCCAGGCCCGGCCTCCGCTCTGCCTCGCCGAGTCGATCATTCGCTGGGCTTTGGGCCCTTGCCCTTGCCTGAGCTCTCTCTCTCTCTCTCTCTCTCTCTCTGTGACAAGAGGTGTTTCTGGCAACGCAAGCATCAGCCGCCACATCACTCTGTGTCCGTGAGCTTGGAAGCAGGCCCCAACGATATCGGCTCGAACTTCTTCGACATTCCCAACCTCAGAGGGAGGAGCACACATGCTCTGGAGAACGAGGTGCCAGGCGAGGGCAAATGAGAGCATCAAACAATTTCAGAGTAGAACGCTTTCGCGTCTGTGCAACGACACACGTAGATGCGAAACACTTGTGCATTCATGCATTCAAAGTTGCCTATAGATGCTTTACCCGCCAAACATAATGCAAACGTAGATTCCTGCGCAAGGAGCTGTAACGCTCAGTCCGATTCTATGAATCACCTGGCGGAGCGAAGGGTACGCCGTGAACAGCTTGCAGCCTGGCGACTGCTCGGCGAAGCGGATCACATCGGCCACGGGGTCGGTGCCCGGGCTGAGGATGAAAATCAGGGGCGTCGTGCTCACCTACGGCACAAAGAAGATTTGGTGGAGCTTACTCTTGGTTTATGGCTGCCGTTTTAAGAGCGCACAGGGTCTCGGGCTTGGGGGTGAAGTTGGAGTGTTGCCTGAGATGAGCGGCATGGCTAGCTGTCGGCAGGGTGTTTGAGAGAAGAAAAACACGCAGGAAGAGGAGTCCGCTCGGGCGGACCTGCCGCCATTAAAATCGAACGTGCGACCAAGAAAGTTGAAACATCTTGACCATCCTTGATGCAGCGCATGTTCCAATTTGTTTTGGTTTAGGGCAGGCGTTGATTCATGAGGCCCCGAAGGCGGAAAACCCTCGGCCCTAGAAGCCCTCACATTTGCCGTGATTGTCAGAAACTGGTGCTCTCTGCCTGCCTTCGGCCTAGAAACTCTGGGTCCGAACTCCGGACGAGCTGTCAGTGTAGCCGACCCGGGATAAAACTCACTGTGCAATTCTGCTGCACTCCTTGACACTCTAGATAATGTCAAGATTGTGAGGGGCCAGCAAAGCATACGATTTCTTAGTGAGCACCTGAACGCGCAAACGGTTCCTGTCTTGGACGAAACCTCACTGGCAGGGCCCCAGGCAGAGTCGGCATAGGACTTCGCGATGTCAAAGGTAGGGGGATCCACGAACTTGGACCCAATCTCCTGGCGCAGATATTCACTCCAAGGAGTCCGACGTCAACTCGGCCCCTGCCACCACCGTAAAAAACAAGAGCCAGCCCCAGTGCTTACCAGGTTAGTCAGGCCTTGCTGATGAACTCGATCACTGCATTCTTCAGGCAATCGATTCGGAAGCTGCGGATGAAGCCTGGCAGCCCAACGCCCAACTAAAAGGCAAGCTTGCCAGCCTCCGGAAACTCTGGACTGGGTTGTCCATCAGTGACGAAACAGTAAGACATGCAGGCAGTGGCACTGATCCGAGTACTCCTCGGACAACTTTTTGAAGCATCCACAGTCACGACAAAAGGCTGGCACTGGACAGGTTGACTCAGTATGGCAGGATTTTCAGAGAACGGCCTCAGAAATCACAACTTGTCGCCGCTCACTCTGCTTCCTGCCATCCTTATGGCAGGTGTGACGCAAGCCCTCACGATCTTTCGCGCCCAAAGTTGGCTCCTGCTCCACGGCGACGACAGCCACAGCTCTGTGACTTCAGATTCAGGGTTCCTAAGCCTTTGCTGTCGAACAGCGCTCTTGCGGAGCCTTGCTGGTGTGTGCACTCGTCTGCCACTCGTCAAAAATGACACTTCTTGTAAGATTGGAGCGGAGACAGAGGACGGGATCTGTGTGGCTGACCACATACCGTTCGCCTCGTGCTCAAGCTGGGTCTGCTGCCAGGGAGCACTGAGCATATCACCCCCAGAGAGCAGCATTGTAGACTAGCTACCGGCTGCTGCCGGAAGCCGGCTGCATGGTCCCCATGAGCCCGGAGGAGCCGGGAGAGGAGCAGCTCCAGGAGCTCGTCTTGCAGAGAGAGACGATACGTCACAAAACGCGGAGCATGTCATCGGAGAGCTCCGGTGGCATGTAGTCGGGTCCTCGCGTCAGACGAGGGGCGACATCTGCTCTAGAATCACTAGAAGCTTCAGGAGAATCTCTGCTGGCAGTTGCAGGCAGCAGGTAGACCCACTCAGGGCATAAGTATTTGTTATTCAGTCCTGATGAAGACTGCTGCAAGATCTTAGCTCACACAACATCTAGCCATCTAGCATTTGAATTTACACAGCTCGCCGGGCTCCGAATCCCCAGCCTTCCCCTGCACCGTGTAATGTAGGAAATTTGCGAAGCATCCGCTCGTGTCCTGCTGCTTCCCCCTGCACGCGCTGTCTGTGTGGCCAATGTTTGGTTGTGATGCCCTGGGCGACAGCCTGTCAAGGACTATGCGCACAACACAGCGCAGCATCTCTTCTTCTGTTTAGATCTTATAGAGGGAAGCAACATTCAGTCCCTCAGCCCTCAAAGAGCTGTGTTGAGTTATGAAGCGTTGCGTTGTCTTGTGCTTCCGCGCTAATTACAGTAGAAGCCCGCTGCGGCCTTCTGCCTCCATGCAGCCAGCTGCTCCTGGCAAAGAGACGGCCATGGACTCATGGACGGCGCACTCAGTCTCACCAAACCATGGGTTGGATTTGACTTAGGACTTAGGTCTTCGACCTGGACTTTGCGGTATTCGAGCTTTCTCCTTGGTTTGCAATGCTCATGGTTGCGGTGTGTTTCTTCGATGCACGCCAAACTCACATGGAGCGTATGCAGGTTCGGGTTCAATACTAGTTTCAACTTTCGGAACCTACAATGCGCTAGCAGGTGTTCACGACAAACCTCGAGAACAAACCCTACGTTGATTGCCAGTTCTTCAAATCTTAAACCCCAACCCGAAAACCCAATAACCCACACTCTCACCTAGTCCCGCCTGATCCTCAGCAAAGCTGCGTGGAACCATGCAAACCTTTGCAAACTGAGGTTCGTGCGTCGTTCGCGCACGATTCCGATTCTACCGTCCTGGATTCATTGGAGCAACTGCTGAGCTCGCGGTCGTGCACTAAGTCCTTTGCCAAGAATTCTACTCCCCACCACGTCTGTGTCATCCGTGGTTGTGACATAGAATTTCAGTGGCTTCGCCAGTTTTCGTTGCGCCTGAGTATGATTGAGCATTACCGCCAGACCAACTGCAGACGTGACTGGGGAAGCTGTATGACCCAGGCTGGAGCCCTTTGCAAAGGAAGGCAAGAAGTTGACATTAGCAATACCTGAGACTGAGACGACACAAAGAATCCTCCTTCTTGGCCCTTAAGTCCCTCCGGCTGAAGTCATGTGGCCGGAACGGCCACGCGCAGCAGTTCGGGTGGCGTCGGCTGAGCTTCCTGTCCTCTTGCCAAGGACTTCTTGCAGCAGGACTATTGGCAATGAGACTGAAGATGTAATTGAGAACTGAGGTGGTGACAGCGGCAAAGCTGAGGATGATGAAAGAGATGATTGCAACGGACTTTGCTGAAGCATCAGTGGCAGCATTAAAAATTATAAAAGTTGTTAATGTTCCACGTGCGTTCCCTTGCCTTCACGTTCTCCTTCAACTTGGTACTGAAACTTTCTCGCATGCATATTTATGAAGCAGTCCGACTAGCTGAATATCTCGGCCCGAAGATCTTCGGCTCCTACGCTATATTTCATTTCTTCCTAATTTCCGTTGTGCCATTGAGCATGTGCGTGCCATCGCGAATGATGTTCAAACTTTGATTGATTCCATGATGCCGGTGCCGATGATCGTCGCGGCGGCGGCAAAGCTGCTGCTCAGAATGACTGTAGCTGACTGCGAATACAGACTTATAAGTACACCCCCGTTTCTGTTCTGTTGGCCTGTACTTTGTGTGCTTTGAATGCCTCAGGAGCTGGAGGATCTGGAGCAGGCCCGAAGAATGGTCTCAGGCCAGATCGTGTACACACCTTCGCAAAATCTTCCCCCGCACATCGACCCAACATGATCCAACATGCACGAAAAGCGACCGCGTAACTAAGCTAAGACACGGGACCCTGAAGCCCTGAAAGCAGAAAAGAACCGAGCACATGAACAGAGCAGGTCCAAAGCAAACGAAAAGAACACAAAAGAGAGGGGGAGGGAGGGAGAGGAGGCAGAGACAGGGAGGGAGTGCCTTCAGCTTCCACACCCGGAGCTGGCTCGCTCCCATGGAGCAGTCGGGCGTCCCACCTCGATGGCACAATCGCAAGCACTTGGGCTTTGGTTCAAGATGCAAGGCTTTCGGGTTTTTCGGGAACTTGTGTGGGCTTCGGGCCGTGGGCCGATTGACTATTGACTTTCGGACAGGTGTGTTCAGCGTACGGGTCTTTAGGCGTGTCACCGTTCATTGGTCTTGACATCCAAATGCGAGCCCCGTCAGATCAAAGGCAGCTCCGTGACGCCGAAACCACCCCTTACCAAAGTCCAGCTACGTAACACCTCATGTATAAGCCCTGAAAAGTAACTTCAGGGACCGATCTGTTACAGATCTGATGAAGCGCTTTAGAGAGCCGATCTGTTGCGGCATCTGTCGGGGGATTTTAGCCACATTCTCGCTCACTTCCTGCAGACGTCCTTTTGGCATACAAGACCGCGAACTTGTTGCTCACCGATTCGATGGCTAAGCAGGTCCATTCACTCGCGAAGCAATTGAGGCTGCAAGGCCACAAGAGTCTCCATCATGCAGACTTACCTAACCTAACCTCGATATGTCAACGTCGCCACCGTCCCTCCGCCCACACCCTGCCTTTCCAAATCCATCACAGCCGCTGCAGCCCCACCAGTCCATGCCCACACGCCCCACGCACCTGCTTGAGCCTCGAGTGTGCTAAGTGTGGGACGTTGCATAGCGATCCCTCCTTGCGAGTACTGCCAGCTCTTCGCGGGAAGCCTGACTCGCCAGCATCGCGCCACGCCACCCGCCGCCCCCCCCCGTCCTCAGCCCTCAGCCCCAGTGTCCACGAAGCCTGACAATGCCCGAGCCCACCACTTTCAGAAGGCAAGTGCACACATGCACATGTGCTGGGCACATGGCAGTGCGCGCGCTTGCCTTCCGAAAGTGGTGGGCTCGGGCATTGTCAGGCTTCGTGGACACTGGGGCTGAGGGCTGAGGACGGGGGGGGGGCGGCGGGTGGCGTGGCGCGATGCTGGCGAGTCAGGCTTCCCACGAAGAGCTGGCAATACCCGCAAGGAGGAATCGCTATGCAACGTCCCACACTCAGCACACTCGAGGCTCAAGCAGATGCATGAGGGTTCATCCTCCATTGATGTAGAATCAATGGGGCGGAGGGACGGTGGCGAGGGCTTGGTCGAGGACCAGCGGAGCTTGCAATGGCTCAGGATTCAGTCAAGCAGGGTGGAGTTGTGACGAAAGGAAAGCCGGCTGTGGAACGAGTCTGGCTGCAAAGAGCTACCAAACAAGTCCGACAGGCAGCTATCCCAGTTCTAAGTTCTAATCATAAGGATCTGACTCGTGGCCTTGCATGTCCGTTGCTGCAGCTCTGTGCTACTGTGGTCATGCAGTTCGGGGATATCGGTCAAGCTAAAACAAGCTCCTGACTCCTGACTACTGAGTGAGTTAACTTCGATACCAACATGCGTAGTTCTACGCTCAAGTCACACCCTAGACTACAGCATCTGGAGTTTACAGCCTTTGCTTACCTCGCTTCCTCAGATCTCCCACACCTGGAGTTGCATCATCTGTCCTGCAGCTCTTCCGAAACTGTCGAGGATATGGCGCGACTTGGCAGTCTCATGGCGCAGCGTTGCCCCAGCGGCTCAACGACAACCAGCACTTGACTTGCCTGCCTTCTCTCAGGCTGAGGCCGCTGAAAGAGAGGCTCGCCCCGTGGTCGCGAACACCAAACCAACAGGGATACTTCCATGGCATCCGGTTCAAGGGTCGAACGAGTCTCAACAGAAGCTGAAATCCCCATACTCTCAAAGCCTTACGTGACCTTCATTCCGAAACCCTGATCTAAACTACAGCCTGAACCCTAAGCCCCAAAACTAGCAGGCGATGCAGCCTAGAATGCTGGCATTCCCAAATTCGAAGGAATTCAGACGCAGCAAGAATCATTCGTCTCGCAGTTCTGCGAGCATCCGCGTCGTGCAGTCCCAGTTCCAAACTTGAGCCAGCGCCTTTAACAGCCGCACAGAACATTGAAGTGTGGAGTCTTGAAGACAGTGGCACTCGTAAACCTCACAAGCAGAGATGCACCGACTATGATCCCCTAAGCCTACTAAAGTATTGACACCACAGCATGAATCTTGCATCCAAGTCGCAGGAGCAGGTCCCCGGGCCGCAGAGACACACCCAATGCGCCGGTGCCCAAGGCGGCACCCTCGGGCAGCGCCAAGAAGTCGCCTCAGTGCACGAAGAGAGTTGCCAGTGCATCGGCAAGACGTGGACGTGCTCACGTATCTGATGTATCTCCATCATCAAACCACATATGTATGCAAGTACGTACCTGTGCCTGTGTGCGTACGTGTGTGCAACCGTCTGCATGTATAACTGTCTAGATAGGGAGAGAACATAAGCACACTCAGGCAAATGATCTGAGACTCGGGGAAGACTTTGCCCCAGCCTCGCTTGCGGAGCCGTGGGCCGCCCAGCAGGTCACCTGGTGTCCAATTTGGGCTCTAGCTTCATCCAGGTATCTGTTTCGGATGTGGGAGGCTTTGACAGAGTTTTTGGAGGATGGGGCTCAGGCTTTCTGGCTTGGGGGCTGTTGCGGGACTCGGGGATCGTGCTTCTGGCTGGGAGTGCACATGGGAGTTCAGGTCCGGTGCTTCTGCGGAGGCTTACGGAACATCAGCCGTCAGCTGCGCTACCTTTTTCGATGTCATACGCAACCGAAACCTGCGCAGTATGCGAACGTAGACGTAACATGAAACCTGCTCGAGCATACCCCAGACCTGTCGACACAGAACTGGAACTAGTTGCAGTCACAGCAGCACAACTCTTGCTGCGCTTCCGGCAAGTGGCTGCCTGTCGTCGCATTGGTGATGAGACAACATGCAGTCCCATTATTCACGCGCTTTTTACCGTCGAGGTCCCGAATTGAGCACAGCCTGGCACTGTCGGCAGCATACGCTTGGAACAAAGACTGACATAGGCTTTCTAGGAAGCGGCCTAAGCGGCTTCATCGTCCATGCAAATGAGAACTACTGCCAGGCCCAAGTCTCAAAACTGAACTCTGAACTGTCCTAGACGGAAGAGCCTATATAGGCTCTTCCTTCGGACTCAAAGCCCTGACTCCTAGAGCCCGAACCACGAAAGTGGGGCCTGGCACACAAACGAAGCCCCCGGTCTGCTGGGGATCAGCTGCAGTGATGGTCAGCAGGCCCTGGCCACAAAAGAGCGCTCGCAGGATTTAGTATTATTTACAGTGGGGTTTACGGTTTAGGGGCTATGGTCTTAGGTTTCAAGCACTTCTCTTGTCCTGACGACAGGCTGTTCAGACCTGATGCATACTGCAGCCCCATAGCTAGATCATCAAAGTCATCTTTCCAGCGTTTAGATGCTTTCGCAGCCCCACCTGGATGGCCTGCAATTCGGGGCGTCGGTAGACCTCAGCTTCCGACAGTCAAGTTGGCAGACTCAGGTGCTCGGCTCATGAGGAGCTTCCGGTGACATGGGCGCCAATCGAAGGACCTCAATGCTAATGACACTAGCAGCACCCGCACTACCAAGGCTCGATCGATTTGCAGTTCATCGGAAAGGCTCCAAGCCAATTGGCTCCCACAGGTATGTCGTGGCCGAGAGACATTTTGGTCTGCGTGCAACCTTGCAGCACATGGGGCTTCGGCCAATGCATGCTCTGACTTCTTCAAATTTTGTCCTTCGTGTGGTACCTTGATGTCAAGACCCGTGTTTCAGAGTAAGCTCGAATTGCGGAACTGCGCTGGAAATTGAGATTCTTTCGGCGGACGACATGCTGGCCTCGGGCCTGCAGATTTCGCAATTGACAGTGTAGAGAATCTGTTTGAATCAAAATGTCCCAGTTCAACACAGGGAGAAGATGAGTTGTTCAAGGTGAATGGAGGCTCTCTGTCTCTCTCCCTCCCTCCCTCCCGCGCATAAGGGACGGTCAGGTCCGCGGGCTTCTAGCCCACCCATACTTATTCTCTCTCTCTCTCTCTCTCTCTCTCTCTCTCTCTCTCTTTTCTGGGCGACTTGACGAAAACTCCGTCGTTCAACAGCGGCCGCCCGTGCACAGGCGTTTGCAGGCTTTCCGGGCAGAACACGTGGCCAGCATGCTAGCAATCATTGCATGGTTGTATCAACAAGCATTCTGTTTTGGGTTGATGCGGAAAACGAGCACTTGCCTTCTTGCTCTTAACATTTTCTTGTGTGTGCGCGTGTGTGCACCTCCTGTAAACATAAGTCATGTCATATTTTATATTCACTGACCGTCCTGGTCCATGGGTATACGATGACAGTCTCCCTAGGCATGTTTCCTTTATCAGATCCACCTTCAGCAAGGGTTCAGAAACTGCAGAGTGGAACACATCTTGCCGATTTGAAGACAAACCCTATAGAGTACTATACAGTCCTGAAATTCGCCAAGAGTACATGATGATCATATATGATCATCATCATCATCATGCAGCAAGATCAATCGATGTGCACTTTCAAAGACCTGCAATGGAATTGCCGTATTCTGCTTCGCTAAGATGAATGCGTTCTGTCTTCGTACTCGTAACATCATGGACTGTGAGCCGGACAGAAATCAGGCGCTGCTGTTATCGGTGGCAAGTTGTCGACTTCACGAGGTTCAAGCTCACAAACAGCCTGTAAGTGCAAATGTCAGTGTCCTCCCACGTTTGGACCTACCCCTGAACTGCGTGCATGCACACCCATGCCTGCGACGAACATGCTTGTCTTTCTTGCCGAACGCGATGAACAGCAAGCCATTGACTCCCGGGACATGCTTTGCAGGCCGCGTGGCCAGCTGCCTCGCGTCTTCCAGGGTTCCAGGACACTAGAAGGCTTCTGCTGCCAGGGACGCCAAAGGATCAAACCATCCTCGGCCGCTGGGGTGATGTTGAATTCGTGCTTAGAGCTTGGCATTCTTCGGATACGGAATGCACAGAGGCTTTGGGGAGAACCTTCGCGACAGAGTGTGAATAGGTCCAAAGTGTATGAATGTGTCCAAAGTGTGGGGCCTGCGGGCAGAGATGCTTTCTGCCTGCTCCGCTCACGGAGGCTCACCTTCGTGGCCGACACGTGCTGTACAATGGCCACGTTGGCGAGAGAGATTGGATCCGGGAGCGGGGGTCGAGTTGTGCCTACATGTTTACAGTGCATCGACTCATCTACGCCTTCGCACATGACACCGAGCATCCATGGAAGTCAGCAGCTTGCAGGGCTCCACGTCCTCAGCAGGTTGAAGAGAAAACGGGCACATCTAGCCTTGGAAGCTGTCTTCTACCATCTCCTTTCCTAAACTGTTCGCAGCATGCAGTGGAAAATGGATCCTGTTGAAAGCTTCGCCTCTGTGCCAGAACTTTCGGGGCACCCGAATCCAGCAGCCCAAATTTTGTAAGCGGCTTAAGCAACCCCTAGGACCGTAGGACAAGCGCCTCGACTGTGCCAGGTCTGACAGCTGAAATATTGCGGAGGAGCGGCCCAAAAGCGCGCAAAGGCCGCCTGCACAGCCTTGCTCTTTCCCAATGCCAGGGTACTGTGAGCCAGAAGTAGGACACCAGAAAGGGAGAGAGTCTTGGTTGGTTAAGATAGCGCTGGGTCAAATGAAGTCGGGAGTCATGCCAGGAATGCCAAGGGATATAGGGATCCCGCAAACAAGAGCGGCTTTCATCGCAACTAGCGGCCGATCGCGGCAGGATGTCGTTGTTCTGTGATTGCTTTGGCTGCAGGGGGCCTGAATCGCTTGCAACTTCGTCCTACAGACTGATAAGACTGACCGACAAGAAAAGGCGGGCGGCAGCATGCCCGCGGACCCTCCATGCTCCTGCTGACTGCCCAGCACCTGCATTGCATCACAGGTTCGAGTCATGCAGCGGTGAGTGGCAGGTTTTCGCAGCTAGAATGCCGCCATCGGCATATTGTATTCGATAGACATCCCCTCGTATCCTTGACGATGTCAGAAAAGAAGCTAAATCAGGCTAGATCCTTCTCTTCCTGCCTGTGCAATGCACCTTCATCCCTGATGGCCTCAAACGGCCTCAATCTACGCTACGGTACCGGCATCACGGTGGCAGAAATGAAGCAATAGCTCATAGCTACCTTTCCCAAAGTCCTACTGGGCACTTGGCCACTCGAGCGAATCCTGGCTCATGTTGATGGGAGTCGATGCCGTCGCATTCCAGGCACAGGCTGAGATTGCTGTTCACCGTTGGTGCTTCGTGGCGCCACCAATCCACAATTGGGCAGATATCCAGACAAAAACTCCAATCCACCACGAAATCCGGCGACTGGTTGGTGGTATTAGGCAAGCGCATATGTAGACATCACGTCGTGCATGCCTGCCTCTCTCTCTCTCTCTCCCTCTCTGTGCGTGTCAAGACAGAACAGTTGGTAACTCTCAAGAAAAGCTACAAGCCACCTGCTTCCTATGCTGGTCGTCATGGAGCTCATTGCAAAAACCCAGCAGCACTCAGCTAGAGCAGCTAGGTGCACAACACGAGCCTCGCACACAAACGATACCAGTGGACATGTTGTCCTTCGGCCTTGGCCACCAGTCGGCGAAATCTGAGAAACTGAGAATACAGGAAGCCAGGGGCGGCCAGAACTACATCGAGGCTAAGATGCAATTTTCTGTGATAGTTGGAGGTGGCGGGGGTGCTTGCATCACATGAGCTCGTCTTTCTCAGAAAGGCCATGTTGGCCGGATGTGACTTGACGCTCATCTTCGCCAGAGAAGGTGCCAGGCACTCAACCTGCGGGCATCAGTTGCCGCAGAGACAAGCTGAATAGGGCCCCGGCCATCGACTGTCGCCCATTGTCCAAGTGGATGTATCGAATCTGGAAACCGAGCCTACAGAAGTGTTTGGGCGGATTCATTCATGCGGTCGCCGGCTCACTCTCAGTCCTGTCCGCAAAGACATGAGCGCTTCATGCTCATCAAATAGATCTTGCCATATCTCGCTTCTGAAGCTCAGCTTCGTTTGTAGCAGCTTGGCGCCTCCGCTGCCGACACCTTCAAACAAAAAGGGGATCTCGAGCCAGTTACGGGAAGAAAGTCAACCCATCAAAGCTTCTTCGAAACCGTCAACATGACCATAGGATGAGGGACTTAGGTTGCATTGTTGCCGTGGAATGCCGAGCTGGATGCCTCGTGGAAGCTGGATGGCGAACTTGCTATGGACTGGACAAGCCGGCTGGCACACATGATGGAGGAAGCATATTCATGTTACACGTTATCGGTGCCTGCAGCAACTTTTAGTGTCTGATTGAAGACGAAAAGTTCAGGCAACACCCGGGATATGCCAGGTACTGTACATGCCCAAGTGCTCAGGATACGAAAATGCCTGGTTCTCAACTGCTACGCGCCATCGGGAGCCCACCTTCCAACCATGACCAGATGTCTTCCAGAGTTGCCTTGCGCAGTCTGCTCGGACTAAGGGTGTCAAGCAACGCGGCATTGTTCAATCCTGCAATAGCCCCCTGATACCGCATGAACCACAACACCACATAAACCTTTTCCGCCCACCATCACAAACCCCAATCCTGCTTCAGCTCTATACGCCCCAAACCTGAGAGCCGCTAACTGTAGGAGCGACCCCACTGATTTGCTGCGTACAATGGCTAACGCTGGCTGACAACTCTACCGTACAAGAAATCGCGAGGGTGACTCGGTACAAACTAGATGTGTGAAGCACAGGTTCCAGAGCCTTCAGTTCCACCTGTGGCAGAACTCCTTCGAGAACTGCTACGCCCTGATGTCGGAGGGCTTCCCTCCAGCCGCCTGTCGGGACGGGCGGAGAGGGCCGGGTTGGTGCGCCGGCGGGGTTGCGGTTTGAGGATTCGGGTTACCTTCTCTTTGAGCTCTCCGCCGTGAGGGTTTGGGAGTAGTAGGTTAGTAGTAGCAGGGTTGATGGATTGGGAGCACAACAGAGCTGTTGTGGCAAAGAACTGGGCAGAGAAGTGCGAATACCTACAAGATAGATTAAGAAGGCAAGCGGAGCGAATATGCTAGACGAGTCAGAATGATGAGAATGTCACGCTTACCATCATGCGTTCAGTAGTTCTTGGTTCTTAGTCATGTACATGGATCAGTTTCAGCGTCGACCGCTTCAACAAGGCAACGACTTTGCTCAGCTGGCCGTCGCGAAATGCTTCTTGCCAGTTGCAGCTGGAGTTTTGCAGGGAGCATCATCTGTTTCGCGGAAGCTGCAGGATCGTTGTTCTGCATACCTTGACCGCTTAATCCTACTGCACTGAAGACTCCAAGAACCAGAGTCTGAGAGACAAAATCGAGTTAGCTCGGTCCGAAACTCGAGGCTTCAAATCTAGCTGAAGTTGCGGACGGCCTGTGTCAACGGGTTGAAAACGAATCTCACCAGGCAATGCCTCAAACTGTGGGATGGGTTCTGGATGCGCTCCGGATTCCTGTCCAAATTTCGGGGCAAGTGCAAGTAGTTGAATTACAAAGCTTGATAAGCACCAAGCAGTCACAAGCTGCATAATGACTCTGTTGAATCACCCTTGGTGTGCGTGTTGTTTCACTCAGGAAAATGTCTGCAAGTTGGAAGTTCATCTTTGGTGCACTTTAGGGCTTTAGGGACCAGGTAAACAAACCTGTGGAACGTGGCTAAGGTCCGATAAGCCGTGACATTGAGAAAGAGAAGGTAGACGCCCTATATCTCTACGTGCACTTAGTTTCCACGTTTGGAACTGTAGGGCGACTGTTGCTGATACTTCTTGTCTTGCACTGCGTGCACACACACACACACACACACACACACACACATATGGCTCGAAAATTTTAAGGTTCATTGGTATCTGCTTCGCATTTTTGACTGCAAGATGATGCCGGAACCATGTGCGCATGGAATCTACGCTCCCGAACAGCTCCTTTTGAGCTTCTTTGCAATCGTCCCGAACGATCCCTAAATCGCATGGGGCCTACACTGAATCTGAAACCTATAAGATTAAGAACCCTGAACACCACCCGTAAGACATTCAACCTGAACCTACGAGTCGGAACACCGTCAGCCGGATCCAAAAAAAACTGGCCTGAATCTGACATCGTCGGACACTGCGGCGCCAACCAAGCGCACAGGGCACTGGGAGGACGAGAGTCTACAGTCCAAGGACCACAGGGAAGCTTGAGTTGAGGGAGTAAGGGCACTGCTGAAACGAAGTGTTCTGATCAGATACGGACACAAACCTAAGGATTTCCATAAATTCACCGTTGCACAGTGACTCTATCTATGTGGTAGATCTGTCTGTCTCTCTACCTACTCATCTACCTGTCTGTTTATGTGTTGTCTGTCAGCCTGTCTATGTATCTACCTGTCTATCCAAAACTATACATACATACATTACATCTACATTTACACTTACAAACAGACATTTTCACATGTCTACACACTTTGAATTGCTTTTGTCTTGGGCTGCGAGCATTCCTCGCAGCCCGGGCGGATTCGTGCTGCAATGTGCATCGCCTTGAAAGACGGACCCGGCGTTACAAGAAGGAAGTGTGCCTCTGTCTAAGTACTAGAACTGGTGCGCTCGAGTATGTGATCAACAATCTGAATGAAAAGCTTCTCGAGTGCCCCTGTTCCCAAAAGTGCAACGTCGGTGCTCCGCTCGAGAATGGCACGTTTACACACCATTCAATCAGCAATCAAATGACTTCGGCGAGAGCTCCAACTTTGTTGCTACTGGTTCCCAACATGTTTCCCTGACCTTCCAGCCTTCTCCCTGCCTGTACATCTCTCTCTCGCTCTCTCTTCCAAGCGGATTGTGAAGCTTCAAACGGCTTTGGAGATTTCAGTAGCTCCGAAATGATTCGGAACATGCTCCTGAAGCAATGATCGGGTTTCTGAGCAATGGTTGTCTGCATAATTTCCTTCATTCCTTTCTCCTCCTTTCCTGCTGTCCTGGGTTTCTTCCTTCAGCAGATCTCTGCCTTTCCACAAGACAAGCCAAGAAGCTAAGAACAAAGAAGAAGCCAAGAGACCAAGAGAACCCCCCCTACAAAAACAGGAATCCAGGGAATCAAGACGCCGAGGAGCGAAGAGCCAACCCTGAACGAATACGTGGAGGAGCCGAGCCAGACCGGCAAAACCAAAAAGCAAATACCTGATCGCACCAAGTCATCAAAAACACTGTGGTAGACTGCAGACATGATCACAATGACAACGATCAACATCATCATAAGTCTTGGAGTCTATCTCCTGGCTCTAGTAACTGCTCCAGCATTTTCCCTTCCGCAGCTTGGAGAAAATCAAAGAGATGGATCCCTGACTCCCCTCCTCTCTCTTTTGCAGTGAGGCCCGCCTAGTAGGCGGAGACCAGCTTGCGCGAAGCAGGAGCCAACTCGAGCACCCTTCACAGTCGTTATACTGGCGGCGCGCTGCCTGCAGTGCAAGTATTGCTGTGGTGATCATGATGATTGTGATGCACTGTACGTCATTCAACTTCAGCTAGCCAACCATGACTTGATAGTTCAGGATGCTGACCCTCATATGCCTGGGCCCAGCTGTTGGCGCAGGAAGACTGTCACGTGGCTGCCCAATGGCCAACATGGCTGAGCTCACAGAGGACAACGGCCTGCGACAGTGAACACAAGCAAAACAGGCAGACATCGATCTAACAACTAGAGATTAATATCGTCTTTTCTGAATAAGTTTTGCCATGCGACTGATGCTCCACCTCCGACTACTACTACGACTACTACTACTACTACTACTACTACTACTACTACTACTACTACTACTACTACTACTGCTACTGCTACTGCCACTGCCACTGCCACTGCGACTGCTACTGCTATTGCTACTGCACAGCGCCCTGCAATCCCCTGACAAGGTTGTTGATCGACGCACAGGATGACACTGCTCGACGGATACTATGCTGTGGTTCTCAAGACGTGTAAACTAAGAAATAGCACTGTCACATGTTGAGGCACATCTGACGAGATCTTGAACCAGTGACATTCGAGCGTATGGCAGGGCACGTGCAACCGCCTTGCAGACCCATCCACGCTAAGAAAACTTGCCGGAACGAGGGCGGAGCACCATCACCACCCCCAAACCTTGCTCCGACTAATGAGCTGCACAGGATACTCTCCCAACGTCATGCCTGCATGCAGGACCGCATTTCAAAAAACGTGACGGCATGGCAAAGGCGTTGCATCGGTGTCAGCCTCGGGGCTACAAGAGGCACGTACTTTGAGCAAACGGACAGCAAGTGCCTGTGCTTCTGCAAGAACTGTACGATTCCGGGCGGAAGAAGATACTGGTTGCTTCCGAAACAATCAGCCATCGTATTGTCAGCATCCAATAACAGGTATCGCAAGCGAGACAGACGGACATCCGAAACGTCACCTCATGCCATATTCGCCCTATGTTACGAGTAGCGACGGCGGCAGCAGCGAAGGAGGCGGGCGTGGTATTTGCTCTCGTTCGCGTTATCTAATCATCATTTCTTCCTTCTTGAGGTGTCTTGTGGTTGCGCTTGTGCCGCTGCTACCTATGAGCCAGTGCATACACTGGGCGAAGATCCTATGGAAGACTGCCTGAGCCGGTTTTGGCTACCAGCAGAACACAAAACTCATAGCCAAAGCATCACAATAGATGTTTTAACAGTCTGACCATGACCGTGCTCATGGATGCCACTGCCGGCCCTTTGGATCGTGATGAGTGCCACTGAGGGCGAAAATCATGGCTCTTACCTTACATTTTGTAATCACAATGATCGTGTATCTCGAAGGCCATCGTCCCTGATCCAGCAGTTGGTGCGATGCAGCATGGTACATCCTGTAGCCCCCGACTTCGATTCCCAGGGTTCCGGGAGAGACTCCTTGACCAAGGAGGCATATCGTTTCGGGCGCGTGGATCTGGAATTTATGGCTTCGTCTAGGTGTAGGCTGCAAGTTTATCAGTTCCGATTGAGACTGAATCGCGGATCCTGCAGCCTGCTGCCTCGCTCTGCACTGGCTTCAGCATATATGTGCCGTGGTTAACGAAGCAAGCTTTGTCAGTCAAGCTGGAAATCCGAAAGCCGGAATGGCCTTCTCAGCTTCCACGGAATCATAGATGGCCTTGAACTCCTCGGTGTAGGGTGTAGGATTTATCTCTGAGTTCGTCATGCTGAGGAGAAGACGAGGGATGACATTGCAAGGCAGGTGAGCAGTCTGATAAAATCTGCAGCAGGCGTGTCGTAACCGGCCGCTAGGGCGGTGTTCTCTACCATCTTCTATCCTCCACTGGGTTGACAGATCCTCGTTCTGACAGCGCACGAGTTAGTGTACTGCGCACCGCAAGACGAAGCCCCAGGCCCTCGGAGCCCTCCTGGTTGTGTTTGTTCTAAGTATGCTAAAACCGTTCAGATATAGTCGTGAAGCGTAGTGTGCAATGGATGCTAGAGCTTTGAAGCAGGCTCTGGCTGGATTGTTTAGAATCCAAGCTTTCGGTTAGCAATTGCAACAACACCGTACTCGTATTCACACTGCTCATCACAATAGCCTATGATAGCCCTGCTCAAAGGGCTGATCCCGCCAATGTGGGCTTTAAGTTGGGCTTGACCCTAGATCCTCAAGACCAGGTGGTCCAAGATAAATCATCCCGCACCTTCTCGCCTGCAAATAACAGATACCGGCGATCACTGCACCCGAACACAAAGAGTCGAATTGCAACAACCATGGCACAGATCCAGACAGAGAAAGCAATAGCAACGTCTCAGGCCTCCAAGTTCACGGGCACGAAGCTTTCGAAACCTGGTCAGCTGAGGGAGTGAAGTTGGGCCTTCAACACAGGGATGTTGTGTTTTTTCGTTCGAGCCACCGTATGAAAGCATATGGAATGCGACACCAAATCGCAGAAGCAAGGAACCATTACAGCGATAAGGTCCAAAACTCACCAAGCATCACAACTGCGGAAGAGCCTGGTTGCAGATGGACCTACACATGTGAGCAACACGTGTATATGTATATATCTGTTCATATGCATGTATACACGCACATTTACATATGTCTACGATATGTTCTAGCCCAGATATAGATGCCATCTCATGAGTCTGATGCATGCTTACTGCATCTCAACTTTTCTTCGGCAGGTATGAGGCCCCAAAGCCGCACGTGCATGAGCTTTGCATGCACGAACAACTGAGAACACACAGCACATCTGCCCTAGTCTGCAGGGTTCCTATCTTAGACCAGTCAGCCCATGAACTCATGAATCCCCAATCGTACTCTCGTCAAAGCAGGTGCGTATCCTCCAGGCCTGAGAAAGCTGATAGGCGACTCAGCGTCAGGATCTCGTTCCAGCGTTGAGGTCCGACCTCGTTGTTGTACATTGCAGTATCCTAGCTGACTGTGACTATAATTAGGAAAGACTTCCGTAACATCTTTCCGTTTTGCTTGTGGCGGCATGCTCACCCTGACTGCTGTAACCGTACTCAATAGACTGCTTACTCGGAATGCAGTGGCAATGGAGGAAGTCTCCTTCCATACTCATCCTTTGAATCCGAAGAGCTGCGAACATGAACATGCCCCGGCCCGGTTCACATTCTGCAAGCTTTCAACTCGGGCAGGCGCCCAATCAGCTGGGATCCTGCAGCCGAAGGACTCACAACACAGTGCCAGTTCTCGTTTTTTGTGTCAGCCGTCTCGAACTTCTTCGGGCGCTCGGGACTGAATGTTGCCGCGGGTTCACGGCTCGCAAACGGCCCATGCAATATTTTTAAGCCCACAAAACCAGAGCACGGTCATGGGCCCCTTCTCCAGCATGTCCGCGGTGGGCCCAACGAGCAGATAGCCTGAGCCATGGTATGCAAAATCAGCAAGGGGAAATCATAAATCTCAACATCGACCCGAAAAGCCGGCATGACAATGTCAGAACGGTAGAACCACATGTGAAAATGTCATTACACGACGGGGCTGCAAACGTCAAACTCAAACGTGCCTATTTCTCCGTCCCTTCGTCCATTCATCCATCCATCCATCCATCCATAACATGCATATTTGCATACATACATGTATACATATATATATATACATATACATATATATATATATATATATATATATATATATATATATATGCTCACACCCCCCCCCCTGAAGACCTACCGCGAGGTGCTTCGGCTAGCAATGGGTGGTAGAACATGTAGGGATTTGAGGAAACCATTAGGATAAAATACGCTCATACAGAAACAATAGAAACATATATCGTGTATAATTAATAGCTGAATACACTGTAATGACCTACGACGGCGCGACATCGCCGTTGGCGGATTTGGGCAGGCTTCAATGCCTGCAATTGTTTAATAGGATACTGCCTAAATGATCCGGATATTCATAATTCTGGTCATACAATGACCATAGGCATAACCCGAAGACAGGACCAAGACAGAACAGTGTCTGCATCCTACGTAAGATCGTTAGATGCGCCGGATAACTTTGTGTTTGTCATTGTCTGTTTATAATTTTGTTCATGTACTCATAGCATAACCCAAAGACGGGACCAAGACAGAACGATGTGTGCATCCTACCTAGGATCGTAATGAGGGTTACATGTGCACACATGTTTATTCTGTGTGAAGCTCTTAGATTACTCATGCGCCAATGTGTATAATAGCTACCACTAGTGCGGATACTAATACTGATACTAAGATTTCTACTCCTACGAATAAGGATATTACTGTTCACAACATAATAGGCTTAATGGTTAATACTAGTATTAAAAATAACACTACTAATACGAATAGTAGTGCTGATGGGAATATTGACACTCCTGGGGATACTAATACGCATATTCTTATTAACTGTTCTCAATATGAATATTAATAGTACTAGTTGTTTGGAATACTAATATTTGTCCGAAAATGCATACCAATACTCAGGCTACTGCGATTATACATAATAGGACATTAATATGGGAATTCGTATCAATACCAGAATTACTATGTTTTCGTAATAGTATTCATTACCATTTCTTTTAAATTAAGGTCAGCTTTCCTTCGAAAGTATTCATATGCGCATCAGAACTCATCTTAATACTCGTACTGATATGAATTACTATGATTACAAATATTTTTGCGAATACTGATACTCTCAGTAATACCGATACTAATATGAATACTAGTGTTCCTACGAATATCAAAAAATACCCATATTGATAGTAATTTTAATATTTATTTGATACCAATATACACGCAAATGCTAACATTAATACTAATATGCATATAAGTGATACAGTTCCTCCGGACATTAATGCGCATAGTCTTATTAATTATTCTCAGTATTTATATTCATATTGAAAAACCTATACTAACATGAATAGCAGTATTACCATTTGATACTCCAGCTAATACGGTTATGCATAGTATGAACAGCGATAATGCTATTGATACCAATATTGATGCTCCTACGAATACTAATAATCACGTTCAAACCAAATGCAAAAAACAGACACATCAATGTATCAAAGAATCTCTATTTTCACATACCAATAAATAATATACTCGTATACTACTATTCCAATGTTACTATAGACTTACAAATACAGAATATACTGATATGAGA